AGCGTATGTGGTAGTTTAGCAAAGTCGGGCGAACTTCCTTCCGTCCCAAAAGAAGGGCTCCGCAAGGCACAGGGAGGGAGCAGGATTAAGCTGTACACGAGACAGTATCTTTAAAGGAGCATTTATTCATCTTCTGGAAGTTTGCAAAAGGAGGCGGGTGCGTGGCAAGAGTTTTAGTATCACTGCAACGAAGCACTCGGCGAGTGCTTGGTCTGAGTGCTTGGTGTGAGTGCTTCAGTTAGCTTAGAGCTTGTCGAGTCACACCAGAACTCCCTGTTAAATTAGCTGTACGGCTGTTATTAACTAATGACTCCTGCACCAGCAGGAGATGGAAAGCGAGCATCAGCCCCCTGATGCAGATGCATCCCCCTGCGTGGACGGGGCGGTTGCTTTCCCTAAGCCACCCGCACGAAGAGGAACGGCTTCGGGTTTTCATTTCTCCCAGGCCAGCTCTTGGCAGGGAAGTGGAGGCTCTGGGAAGTTCAGTCCCTCTTGGTGCGGTGATTTAGTGCATAGAAGGGCGCTAAGGTCGGGGCAGGGTTACAGTCTGGCCTCCAGTTTGCTCCTCAGCGCATACAAAAACCAATTAAGGATCAATGACTCCAGTGGAACAGACGGGCAAGACAACATCAATTTACTTTTTATTTTAACTAGCTGTGGCCAGGGTCTGTTTGTTCATCCTGTGTTTCGCCCACCCTGAGGCCAGACACTCGTTCTTTTTTCTCCTGCCCTCCTCCTGCCCCGAGGCTTTACCCCCCAAGCGGGGGAGTCAGTGGGTCTCCAGTCGTGCCATTTACACCCGTACCACCCTGTCCTACCATCCCCGGCCTCAGGCAAGGAGGTCCATTCCTCACTGCGGGGAGTCAGGGAAATCCAGAGGCAAAGAACATGAACCAACCCTTCTCCCCCCTGGAATTTATCGCTGCTTTTGCCGTCGGCTTAGAGGGCCCTGCCTCCAGTGACCCTGCTCTGCCCAGGGCCAGTGCTGCCTGGGCTGAAGTCCTCCCTGAGATCATGGTTTCCCCCTGTCTTTGCTGTGACTTGCGAGGAGGTCTGGATGTTTGGCAAACAGCTTTTCACAACACCCAGTGTTTGCAGTGTCCCACAGACATTAGTCTGGTCACAGCTCTTCTCATGGCAGCCATTACTCATTGCTGTAAGTGTCTGAGCACCGTCCAGTGTAGGGCTGGGATGCCACCAGCTCACCTTGCACTCTGGGTCCCGTGGGTGCCAGGGGAGAGGCTGCAGATGTGGGGAGAGCAGCATGTCCTTGCCCCTCCGCTCCTTACCTGGCATCTGGGGCAGGAGGAAGCCCCACCAGCCGGTCCCTGCTGTGTCCTAGCAGGCACACTCTGCTGGGAGCAAAGGGGTGAGGGGCCTGATCCTGCCAGAGGCATTTGCTGTCCCCTCTAGAAGCAAAAAGGGGCTGGATGCCCAGTTGCCGTATGGCTTTGGCCTTTGCTTAACAGTTTCCACCAGGCACAGAAAGCAACGAGCAAAGAGAACACTCTCGTGCTGAGGTTTATATTATTTATGACGATCTGTCTTTAGAAGAGCAAACAGATTGGGCAGCCCTTGGTAACAGAAGACCTAAACCACGTCACTGGTGATACAATTGCCAAATGATGTGAAGTCTGACTCTTGGCATAACTGTTTTGAGAAATGAAAAACACTCATCCGAGGTGAGCCCTCCAAGGCAGTTTTGCTTTCTCAGTTGCTAACTGGAAACAGGAGGAATGAGCTCAGTGTGAAAAGCTGGCCAAAGGCCTTCCTGCCTTGCCCTGTCCTCTGAAGGCGCTATCTGTGCCTCAGGAACCACTTGCCACTCAGGACATCATTTGGTGTTGCTCACAGAAATCAAGTAATCCGACAAAGCAGAGCCAAGGATGCTTGTGGTGTTCAGATTGCTGATGCTGCTGTCGGTAGAGCCACAAAGTCCGTGTCCCGCTGCCCCAGGCTGTTCCCAGTACGCCAGGCTTTTGGGTGACTTTCCGGATGCGCCGCATGCTACACAGGTAATTCAAGCAGAAGCAGCTGGAGTCTGCAGCTGTCTGGTATGAGACCAGCTATGGTTGATCCTGAATGTCCCCAGAACCACAGAGTAGCTGAGGTTTCAGTCCGCCTCACTGTCCACTTAGCAAGCCCATACTTCGTCAGCTCGTCTGTGAGGATGTTACAGAAGACAGTGTTGAAAGCCTGTCTAAAGTCAAAATAACAAACATCCACTTCTCTCCCCTCATCCACCAAAGCACTCACCTCATGGTAGAAGGCTATCAGGTTGGCTAAGTGCAATTTTGTCTTCATAAATCCATGCTGACTAATCCCTTTTCAGTCCTTCATATGTTTGCAAACAGTTACCAGGAGGATTTTCTCCATCACCCTTGCAGATTTCCAGGTGGGGCTGGCCAGCCTGTAGTTCCCCAGATCTTCCTTCTCGTTCTCCTTGAAGATGGGAGTGACATTGCTTTCCTCCAGCCTCCAGGAAGCTCTCCCAACCACCACGACCTTTCACAGATCATCGAGGGTGGCCTCGCAATGACACCTGCCAGCTCCCTCAGCACTCGTGGGCGCATCCCATCAGGGCCCACGGGCTTACATATGTCAGGTTTGTTGAAGTGCTCCCTAGCCTGGTTCTCCTGCATCGGTGGCCAGTCCTCCTTGCTCCAGGAGGTGAGCAATGTCGGGGAAGTTTGCCTCATGAAAGACAAAAACCCCACAGTGCCTGGAGGCTGCAGCAGCTCAGGGAGAAAGGGGCATTCTGCTGAATCAGGGCTAGCCTGCATAGCTTGCATGAGAGCCCGGTCCAGACTGCTTCGGGTGTTCAGATGTGCAGCGTTAATATCCTACTCACGCTCTGCTTTGGCTACTGATTGTGTCTATTTTTACTCTGACACCAGCAGACTTCCTACCAGACACACCGATTAGTAAACCTCCCAAAGGCCACGAGGAAGGAAAAGCTTTATACAATTACTCAGAGTGTATCCCCTAAAGCTTCCTCAGCTGGAGCCCTTTCTGCCACCGGCAGTTTAACACACTTGTTTTGTTTAAACATACAGAGAATGCACTTAGGACCATATTTTAGAAAATAATCTATAACCTTGCACTTTATATAAAATAGTTTATAGCCTTGGTCTGCCAAAGGGCAGGGGCTTTGTACCAGTGGGTGAAAATGAAAATAGCTGGTTGTGCTCAGTCTGACCTGCAATTCTTTTCACGCGCAAAGGCAGAGGACCCAGGGGAGAGGAAGGCCAGAAGAAATAGAGCAGGGTATATGCCCAGGGCTGGAGAGATGTGGGTCAAATCACTGTTCTGCCTTCTCATCTCCCCATCCATATGACTGATACAGAAGCATTTCCCTTTCCCACAACGATATTCTGAGGATAAATACACCAAAAAATGGAGGTGTCCAACCATGTATTGATAAGATAGCTCCTTCTGATTATATGCCTAGATTTTATCTTTAAATGCTGCAAGGGTCAAAAAAAACCCCATAGAAGCTGTGTTTCTGTAAGATGCAGCCTGGCTACATGTATAATTCTGAGCAACACAGCTGTGGTGTCTCTGATGGCCTCAGAAGATGCCTTATATATAAAAATATTTGCTCCAGAGCAAACACAGGGATTACTCCCAAAGAATTACCCCTTAAATCTTGAGGCCAGTGCCTTCGGAGCTAAGGCATCAGGAAAGCAGTGAGTGCAGACCATCCATGCCATGTAGGGGTATTTGTGTAGGCTTTGGCAGTCATTACAGCCAGCTGAAACACCGATAAGCCAGAACAAAACATTTTCCCTGTGTAGTCATCCACATCTTGACCTCCTTACATGTCTGCTGCCTTCCTAATATCTTACTGCAGCTGTGCCTCGCTGAAAACCATTTTCTGCAGCAGAGAATAAGGTTACAGAGTTACCTCTGGGTGGATCTTCACCTATGAATTGGTGTATCTTCATGCACCTACCCTGAGTAACCTCTGTGTTCGGTACATTTTCTTCAAATTGCACAGAAAATTGCATCTAGTCCCATCTTTCACCTCTGATTCTTATCGCCGCTCAGTTGGGCACAATGCCTTGGAGCTGGCTAAAAGAGGCTTAAAGCAGCAATGTATATACGTTTCTTTTCCAATATCCCAAATCTGTTGCAAAAAGTCATTTTTGCGAAGGTCAGAGCTGGGATTGGTATCTTCATAATTTGAGCCAAACGGATATAAATTCGGCACTGTACTGACCCACTGTGCTGGTTGTACCAAAAGTGGAGGCAGTCATTGCCAGCACACAAGTCAGTGCAAGAACATGGAAAGGTCAGCCTGACCCTAGCAGCTTGTAAATCTGGCAAGCCCTTCTGCGCTTAACCATAGACAAATCATGAATTCTTAGTCTCTTGCTTTTTAAAAATAACCTGTCCTCCTTGAGCCTGAAACGTGTTCCTCTCGGAAAAGTACTGGGTGCAATGAACACTGCGTGGACGGGGACTTGGGGGTCCCCCCCCGAACTGGGAGGCAGTCCTGGGGCCTGGGCACACAGGGTTAAGAGCACGAGAGCTGCAAGAAGGCATGGCCCTGCGACGGCAGGTAGCTACGGATTGGACCTGTGCTCGCAGGAATAGGCTTCGTTATGGAAACCTTTTGGTTCAGACTTCAAGGCAAACGAACAAAAAGCTCCCTGCTTCTCAGGCAGGAAGACAGGTTTGGTAGTAATGGTCTTTTAGGAAGGTTTGGTATGAACAGTCTTTTAGGAAGCCTGTGAAACTTTATAACTGGACACTACCCATCTTCAAAGACGTGAAGAAATGGTTGATCTGCAGGAAAGAAAATCAGACATCAGGAAAAAGAATTCTAACCATTGGGATTGCGACAGTGAAGCTGTAATACAGGTTATGGGATTGATTATCCAGTCCCATTTGCTGGAAGGTTTTAAAAATGGAGGAAGGGGTTGGTAGGTGTAAAGGGAATGGATGGTGCTTCGGTGTGGGACCAGCGCCTGAGGAGCCTCCCAGCCGCACATCTGTACGGTACCACTGCTGAAAGGCGATGCTGGCAGCGGTGCAGCAGAGAGGTGAGGAATTCAGAGGAGAAGCGAGACGAGACAGAGCAGGACGGCAGCGGGCAGGGTCCATGCCCTGTGCTGTCCCTCCCTGGTGCAACCAGTTTGGCAGTCGGCGAGGAATCTCAGCTATGGGACACCATGCAGCCCCAGGGGACCTGCCTGCCCCTCCTCCTGCCGCTCACCTCCCGAAGCACAAGCGCTTACTGCTCCTGCTGATTTTCTGTCTTGGAGGTGGAGGTTGTTACTACCTTTGATCACAGTCTCCTTCTGTGAGTTACTGATCCGAAGAATCAACATAAAACACACAAAGCTTGGTATTAGTGTGGGAGTAACTCATGGAGTAAATAAAAGTTTGATGAACCGACCTCCACATACAACAGCGGACTGTCATTTTGTGATCTACATTTAGATTTTTTCCACGTAAAACAAATCGGTACACATCCCCTGTTTCACAAATTGCAATAAGCATTTTGAAATACTCTATAAATATAATTTGTTCTTGTCTGATGAATGTCTCTGAACTCCACCCTTCACAATGAGAGTGGTTTCCCTAGTAAATATTATATTCCAAAGTCTTTTAAAACAAGATGAAAGCAAGCAAAAAAAAAAAGATGAATGATAAGACTGAGCCTGTTTGATAGACACAAGATACACCACAGTCTGAGGTATTGTGAAGTTTTTATTGCCACTTGTTTCATAACACTGTCCTCCCAGATCCATCCCAATAAAATATTTATTTTGCCTCGGACCACCGGCGCACGGCTTGCTCAGCAGGCAGGGCAGGGCACGGTTAGGACCACCAGCTGGGCAGCCCATGGAGCCAAGGCTCTTTACCTTCATGCCGGTTAAAGGAACCAGCCATGAAATGTGGCTTCAGACATGATGTCCCTCAGCTTTTCCTCACAGAGGTGGCACAGCAGGGACATGTGTCCGTGCCTCCCTCTGTGGACTGAGGGCCAGCGGCCCCTGAAACCTGGTCCAGAGAGCAGCAGAGGTTCATCATGCAGGAAAGTCATGCAGATATGAGTTATAGGAAAAAGGTAAAGAAATCTTTGCCAAAGATCTCTGAGCTGGCCACTAATTTCAGGCAAGAAAATGAATATTTGACACCCTACTTTTTAAAAAAGATCTAGGGAACTGGTAGCT